ATACATATGCGTACCGAACCGAAAGCACTGTATCGAACGGTTCAATATCGATCGTTGCACCCCTAGAAATCACAGCTGGTTTATTTAACATTTTATTTGCAGTATTTTCCTATCTGGTAAAATATAAACATGCATGTTCAGTGCAGTGTGCCAGGTAAAAAAGAAGGGGGAGATTAAAGATGCATTCGCAGCGTGTGGGAGAAAAAAAACTTTCAGCGAATTACATGCAGATAGCTTATTAATGCTATTGCAATTGATACCCGATGGTTACAATAAAGACATTTCAACTATTGTACGTGGAAAAACTCGAGGTACCCATGGGTCGCCACAGCAGATTATCTACCTCCATCTCACCATATCCCAGCATTCTCCTCTGTCACACCATGTTCTCTTTCACTCACTACATCCATGAATCTTTTATGTGTTATTCAACTTTTCTTCCTGCCTGGCAGCTCCATATTCAATGTGCTTTAGCCAGTTAATCAGCTTTCTCTCTCTTATGCACATGTTCAAACATCTGAGCCTCACCTTTCTAGCTTTGCCTCCAACCTGCTCAAACTGAGCTGTCCCCCTGAGGTCTTCGTCCTGGTCACTCCAAATGAAAATCTTACCATCTTCAGCTCTGCCAAATGTCTTTATGTTAGTGCCACCATCTCCGAACTATACATCACAGCAGGTCTCGGTTACTACCATGTAATCCTTCCCCTTTTTTGGACAGCTGGACCCATGTATTTTAAAACCTCTCCCTTCACTACCTCTGCTGCCTGCATCACTCTTACACCTGCCTCCTGCTTATTCACACACATGCATTCTGTCTTGCTTCTATTAACTTTCATGTCTCTTCTTTCCAGAGCATACCTCCACCTCTCCAGGCTCTCTACCACCTGCTCCTACCTACTCTCACTACAGATCACACCTCGCTTTCTAATGTGTTGTCTGCAAACATGGCACGGAGACTCCTGCCTGACCTCAACTGTCACCCTGTCATCATCACTGCAAATAAGGAGCCCAGATCTGATCTCAGTTGTAAATCTCACCTTTTACTCCAACCACACACCTCAGCACTGTCTGGCTTGCCCTCATACATGTCCTGCACCACCCTTTTATACTTCTAACACTCCTGACTTTCACATGCAGTACTACAGTTCCTCTCTTAGCACCCAATCACGTCTTCTCCGATCCACAAAGACACAGTGAAGCGCCTTATAAACTTCTCTATACTTCTCCATCAACACTCTTAAAGCAAACATCAAATCTGTAGTGCTCTGAAGCCACACTGCTGCTCACTGATCACCACCTCTCTTTATAACCTAACTTCAAAAACTGCTTCACATATCTTCATGGTATGGCTCATCAGCTTTCTTCCTCTGTAGTTACAACAGCTCTGCACATCACCCTTGCTCCGAGTCCCAATTCATTTGCACATCGGACTGCTGTTACAGTATCATCTACCTACAGGCAGCTGTCCACTTAATAGCAGCATGGCCAGTGTCTTTAACTAACGGTGCCATTTTGAAGAGCTCGTGCTTAGCTAAAGTCTTTAGCATGCTAGCTCTGGCATATGAGGACAGTTGAGGATTCTTACCGTGACGACATAAACCTCCTCTGCTGAACACCGTCAGGCAGGCTGCAAGCTCGGCATAGTAACCGCGGTCTGTATGCCTCGAACCCGCAGCTGGTGTCAACGACACTCAGTATTCTGTGAGCATGCTTCTTGTTGTATTTACTGACACTACTCAACAACCCTCGACGTAATGCACTAGCCGCCATCTTTCCAATACTAGCACAGTCACACACGTTTGACATATCGTTTGTCCTCCAGCGTTGAGAGCCAATCATAGCTGAGCTGCCTTCATGGAACGACCGTAATAACAGAACCAAACGCTTAACGTTCAGTAACCTTCTTTTAATTATTTTCGTTTACAACAAATATGACCTTCATTGTAGTCTGAAAATAAAAGTTTAACACTCCTTTATTTTCATTCCACCATTTCATTGGTTAAAATGCTGATTGCGAACCGGTAGTTTGGGACAATTTAGTGTTGGAAAGTTGTGTCCCATCAAAAGTACTGTTGCTTAAATTTGTGTCAAAGCTTAGTAATGCAAAAACGGTAAGTTTTACGAGTTTATGATGAGTCCTTTAAGGCCCCACAAGGTAAGGTGTCATGTAGTGAGAAACGTTTAAGTTAAAAATGAAACAAATCATTATTATAAACTTGGCGTATTGGCGTCTTGGCGTTTTCACAATAATATATATATGACTGAGGTTTTACAAAAAAAAAAAAAGAAAAAAAACGTAAATAAAACGTCAGGAAGATGGTCACGTGAGCGATTACGTCAGCCTGTCACAAGACAAGCAATATGGCTGCGTACCAGGGTTTTTATTTGTTTTTAGCAGATGCTGCGTTTCGTTTTTAAACGGTACATTTCAGTAGATATAAAGTAAAGCCCGTGTTTATATTGAGGCCAGGTTTGACAGAAAACGTTATTTAAATAGTTGCTTCGAAAAAAACTCGTTTAATTTTTGGTGCAATCGCATCATGGCTTCTGCATTTGTGGTGGGGGATAAATTCAGAAATAAAGTGACACATTTACTGGGAAAGTCGGAGTCAGCTCTTCCTCGAGCATTGGGAGAAGAGCTGGAGGAGGTTCTTGAAAAACCGGAACCAACAATCCTGCCATTCAGTACAGCGAGGAAGATCAAGAAATATCTTCAGGACAATGGTGAAAAAAGAAAAAACAAAATACTGAATTTTATATATATATATATATATATATATATATATATGTGTGTGTGTGTGTGTGTGTGTGTGTTTACAATTTCATAACATTTTTTACCGTGGCTGCATTTATCCAGGGCATCCATTCTACCTGCATGAGTTGCTGGAGGATAGCTCGCTTCACCTGCCTGAAATCGTGAAGCCTCCTAGGGTAAGTAAATTCCTGCACGTTTTGTGATGTACACTCATGCGCATCCTTTGCTGTTACACTGTATTCACATGTGAGTGATAGACCATAGATCTGTAGACCTACTGCAGTGTTAACATGTAGTAATTTCTGCAACTTGGCCCCGTGTAATTAGAGTGTTTTCACAGAAGGCCCAGCCAGTGTAATGAGAAAAACTAAACTGTGACTTCTTCCTCTCACTTTAGAACCCTGAGCTGGTCGCCCGTCTTGAGAAGATTAAAGCTAAACTAGCCAATGAAGAATACAAAAGGATCACAAGAAATGTCAATGCTCGGGTACATTTTTTGTTAATATTAAAAGCATCTTTGCCATTTCAGGGTCGATACACTGGAACGTATTGGGTGTGCTGTTGAAATGTTTGGATGTTTTGTTTTTTTTCTCATGGTGAGGAGTACAAACCATCCTCGTCCATGCCAGTTCTTAAAACGATGGGATGGTGATGTAATGCAAATAAAAAAATATAGATAGATTGCAAGTTAGAATGTTTATGGATGGCTTCCAAGCTTGAGGTTCATAATGTACATCTGAAGAAGTTTTTTTTCTAACTTAACGACATGATAAAAAAAAATGCCAGAACAGAATATTTTGCAAGTCTTATAGAAATTATATAGAAATTTGGGTGTCATATTTGACAGTTCAATGTCGCCAGAGAGTCACTCCAAACAGCTGGTTCTGAACAGTTTTTATCATCTAAGAAACATGTCTAAACTCAGACTACTGGTGGCAAAGGCAGAACTTGAGATGATTATTCATGTTTTTATTTCTTCTCATTTGAATTGTATTAACGGTCTTTTTTACTTGTTTCAACAAATCAGCTTTGGATGGCCTTCAGACTTTACAGAATGCTGCGGCAAGACTTTTAACTAGCACTAAGAAGAGGTCACATATTACTCTAGTTTTGGCTTCTCTTCATTGGTTGCCAGTAAACTTTAGGTTTCATTTTAAAATTTTAGTTTTAACTTTTAGAGCTCTACATGGTGAAACTCCCCAGTATATCTCTGACCTGTTGAAACCTCATGCATCTTCCCAAGCACTTAGGTCTTCAGGTCAGAAGTTACTATTGGTCCACGTACTAGTTTCAAAACACGTGGGGATTGGGCTTTTCAGGCACCAAGGCTGTGGAATTCTCTTCCGTTGTCTTAACCCTGTCTTTTAAATTGTTCTCATTCATTTTTTTTAAATTATGCATTTTTCCAAAGACAGAGAAAATGTGCACATTTTTTCCAAAGTGCTGATTTTGATTGTGGGGTTATATTTTGAAAATATTTAACAGTTTTCTTTTTTTGTTTGATTTTCCAGGAAATCAACTGCCATGGCGTGCTGTCAGATTTCGGACAGCAGGGTGAGTGTACTGTTGAGCATCTCATTATAGAGGCTGGATTGTGCATCCTTAGCTTATGTACCTTCTCTCTCTGCAGTGCGGTCAGTCAAAGCAGTTGTGGTCACCATATTCAACTTCCTGGTTACAATAGTTGCTGCTTTTGCCTGTTCCTACATGGGCAGTCAGTACTTGTTCACTGAGACTACGGCGGTAAGAGAAGCGGTCCTGCTGCTGTCCGTCCCGTTATAAAACTTCTCTGTATTTTGTGATGTTCTTGTTTTGCTTTACTGAAATTGTTTCCAACATTTGTTTTGCAGCGGGTGATCTCAGCGGTGATCGCCGCATCAGTAGTTGGGCTTGCTGAGCTGTATGTCCTGGTCCGGACCATGGAGGGAGACCTAGGGGAACCATAGCAGCTGTTACCTTTGGAATCAACACCTTGTAGGCAGGAGTCTGTAAGGCCTCTGGCAGCCACAGCCAAGCCCGTGGTTCAGAGCAGAACGCTCACTCTGAAACCTCTGTGATCTTTCTTTCTTTTTGAATTGTTTCAGGAATTATTGATGAAAAAATAAAACGTCCTGAGAATTTCTAAATAGAAATGGTTCCAAGCTCCAAAGTATTTGTTCTTTGACATTCTGCATCCCTTTCTAGTGAAATGAAAATACTCAAAATACTTCGTATTTATTTCCCAGATTTTTGTTTTTACTCTAAAACTACAGCGTAGTTTTTTCCTCTCTGCTGTGTAAAATGAATGATGAGGTTCTTTTCTGCTCTGAGATGAAATCATATTTCATATGATTTTTATCAAATAAATCATCTAAAACAGTCCATTCATCTCAGATGTCCATTTGTGGATTTTCTGCCTGTTGCTGTTGGTAGATCACAACCAAAGGGGGGAGCACAGGGAAGACAAAAGAGCAGCTTGAGGTGGCAACGGATGACAACCCTTAAAAAAAAAATCTTATGGGTGACATTTGGCACATGCACAATAAACAGTGAACTATAGCTTAATTTAGATCATGCAGTCCAGTAACAAATAACAATAAATGTCCCAAAGCATTTTAAGAGGGCTGCCAAGTGGGGAGATTTGCATCTTGGACACCTGCACGCATTAAATGTGGTATTAGCTTGATGAAAACATTGATACTCAAAGTTCTTAAAACCTGCAATGTTGGAGGGGTCTATAGCCTATTTCACATGGTGTAGGCCAAATCGTATGCTTTGGACAAGTTGTCGGTACCATGAAGTCTTCGTTGCACTTACAACTTTTCAGATATATAACCACCTTTAGCTCTTTATTATTTCATCTATGAAAACTTGGGCAGCACAAAAGTGATGTGACCCAACAAATGAACATTGTCTCCTGACACTGAGAGTCATATTTTCCAGTACGTCAAAACCAGTCAACAAGGTTAATATATTTGGCAGATCCAATGCATATACAGAGAAAACTAACCAACAATGACAAATGCAAGTTTTTTTTTAAACAATCAAAAGAAGCTAGCATACAGACTTTAAGTCATTTGGCTTATTGTTTTGCCACGAGGATGTCCTTGTGTTGACTTTTCTGGAAAAGTCACCATCTGTGGCCAGTAATAATGGTCAGTCATAATGTTTACTGGACGGTTTCCACCTGACAGATGTGCTAATAATAATCTCCTGATCTGTGCTTACTATATCTGGTTTGAAGTGAAATATCAAGCCGAACAACACGTAAACAACCGATTACTGTCCAGTACAGTAGCTGTGCTTTAAGATCATCATGCTGAGAACAATAACACCATGTATCCTACAACACAGAAGATCCTTTTTTACTGATCCCCTCTCCAGATAAGGTTTCATAGTTCTGTAAATTATGCCCCCCCCCCACCCGTCAAGTTCTGTCATATCAGTGGAAGGATTAAAAGATGTGACTGCATCCTGGAATACCAAAAAAAAAGTCTCTTCCTAAGATCTGAGATTTGACACCAGGATTAAAGGTTTATTGAAAGATTACTTGGTATTAAAAATGATTATGATATGCAGAGATCTCTGTCCAGCTCTGGACAAACAGTGGGCACTCCCGTCTGTCATATTACAAATAATGTAATATTTCAAAACTTAAATCCAGGTCAAATTACAGAGGCGGTAAGCTGATAGACCCAGAGCTCTGACTTTAATTTAGTTCTTATTTTGCTTTCATTTTTCCCCTTCCCCTTAGGCCATGTAAACCCTGTGATACTTACAGCACAAAGAGATATGATAAAAATATATTTTGATTTAGAAAATAATTATTCCTGTCGTGGTATCCTACCACAAGGAATCATTTTAATCTGGATGTTTTGAAAAATAATACTCTTGGGGTCACAGCATTAAACATGTCCTGGTTCAGCAGGAGAACAGGAGCTGGCTTCTGTGAGGAGAAACCATGATATATACAGCAGTATCTCTCTGATGGAGAGATCTCTCAGATCTGACCATAGGTTATACAACTTCTGATATTAATACATTTTCAAAATGTCATGAGCTTTGTGTATTTGGCTCTTTAAAAAAATGTTAATAGGAACAAGTTTCATTAAAAATGCCGATACGACATCAACATACCCTGTGGGTAAAGGGCAAATTGTGTGATTCAAGTAGTTTTTTGGGTTTTTTTTTTTTTTTGGGGGGGGGTGGGCTTGAAGATTGTGCTTGAACTAAAACATTACAAAAGATACTGCTTTGGCTGATGACTTTATACTGTCTATGACGCCACTGACAAAGATATGAAACAGTTAATAACAACTATCAGTTTCAAGTAGTTAGCCAAAAGTAGCTCAAATAATAAAAAGTACAGATGCTAAAACTACTTGATAAATGTCTAGAAAAAGGATATAAGCTAAAAGCTATGGTGAGCTGCTAAAACTAATGGGTAAATGTTAAAATCACTTAGTTGGAATTAGGTAACTATTAGCCAAAATACCCTAATAGCTAATTGTTAGAGAATTGATATTACCTAAAGCCATGCTGTCCCCTAAAAGTCCCCTAATTACTGTTAGTAGGCAAACTGTTACTTGGTTAAATAAAACTGCATGATGAAGCATTAGCTGTAGCATATAATGGTTGAAAAGGATATAATAAGTGACTTTGATTATAAAAACTTGACTTACTTAAAAACTGACACTTAAATGTAATAAAAAATACTGACAAAAAGTACATGTTACAAGTTTATGAGGCTTCAAGTTTGGGAACTACAGTGGTACAAACTAATGGGAACTTTTTCACTTTAACCTATGATGTTCGCTAAATATTATTTATTTTCAAAACTAGATAAAAAATGTGGGAGTTTTGGTAATATTAGTACTGTAAAGTAGTTCCAGCCTTGCAAGCTACAATATTAAAACACAACATACAGTTAACAATAATGAATAATAATAATTTCAATAAACTGATATTTTCTGCATATTTTGGTAATAATACCTTTGTATTGCTACTGAATCAAAATAAACTACACAACTGAACAGTTATGTGAAAATATGATTTGCGGTTGTATTATTTGATTATACAAAAACATGAAACAAGCTTCATGTTACATATGTTATATGTGCTTACTTCCAGCTTCACAAAATGCAGTTTATACTATCAGAAATTTTTAAAAACTAACTTTAAAAAAACCCATTTTTAATTAATTTGTATTAGATTTTAAAAATAACAGATTCTATTAAAATAAAAACAAGAACAATTGTTTTTGACAAGTAACAGTAAGATTCAAAACTGTGATCAGTTGCCTCAGTTTATTCTCCAAAATATACAAGACATAATTCAAAACATAAAATATACAACTGGACAAATCAGCATCGTAACAATTCTACTCTACTTCACAGTATTACAGCCTTGTCTGAAATTCATCAGCTGTGGTAAAACACAGGACAGATTTTGATACATTCATCAGAATTCAAGAAAATTGGTAACAATAGCAGCGTTATAGATCAGGTCTGAGATATATCCCATCGAGGTCTGTGGTCCCAGTTGTGGGTGATGATGGTGGTGGTGGTGGTGCTGTCCCTGACCTTGAGAGATTTCCCAGTACATTGGCTGAGGGTGGGAAGGGACAACCTGATCTACTGAGGCATGACCGCCAGTTCCAGTGCCTCCGCTGCACAGTGCCTGATGAGGTCCAGATGGAGCCAAGCTCCGGGACTTGAAGTTCCTGAAGGCCTGATAGGAGCATGTAGATGCAGCGTGGTGAGGCTGCCTGGTGATGGACTGATGAAACGAACCAGGAATGAAACCAGTGAGTGAGGCTCCTAAGTGCTGTTGCTGCTGCCCGTGGTACTCCTCTTCCCAGAGACGAGAGTCTGAGGGTTTGGAGCAGCTACGAGTGGACTGCTGATGGAGGGATGAGGAACATGGTGGCGATGACATGGGGTTACTGTAGATTTGCATCCAATCTGAGTAAATCTGCGGGACCTCCTCACAGGAGTGGTTCTGCTCTGGCCTGAACATGTCTGCCAGAGTGTTTGAATACGTGGAAGTCGCAGGGCCGGAGGAGGGATCCACAAAACCTCTAACTCCAAGGACAGACTTGGTGGACTTGGAGAGTCTACCGGTCTTAATACTTCTAGCTCTTCTGTTTTGGAACCACACCTGTGGGAAATGGCAATATTTATAATGAATTAGTCTTACATAGCCAATTTCAGTTTATGCATCCAAATTCTGCTCAGGGTACCATGTTCATCAAAACAAATACTGGGGTTAGATAGATTTTTTGGGTTGTAATTTTCTTGTCTTCGTAAATGGACTGACTCTTATATAAAGCTTTTTTACTCTACTTGAGCACTCAAAGCATCTTAAACAACATGCCACGTTCAGCCATTCACACAAACACTTTTTGTGCACCTAAATGCTTTCTTTCTAATGTTCATAATCCAATAAAGCATTAGAACAATTTGGGATTAGTTCCTAATTTAAGCTGTCTCCTGACTTTGATTGGAGTTTTCATGTGTGACAAAAACGTTTATCACACATAAACATTTACTTCATAAAGGAACACAGAACATGGACAGAAATATTTAGAAGGAAAGAAGGCAGATAGATGCTTGGTAAATATAAAAGAAAGAGAAAACGGGTATCACATCATCCTCTGCCTGCCTAAAACAGACTTAACTTCAGGTATGACTATCCTTATATGAGTCATATATATAGTCTATATATAGTCATATGGGCACATTTGTTATTATTTTAAGTTCTTTAATGATTTTGATCTTTAATTGAGAAATAGAAGAACAGTATCATTTATAAAGAATAGCTACAAAATATGTACTGAAGATGTTTTTTTTGCTGTAGTGGTCCCAATTATTGTCTCTGTGGTCTAAAGGAGACCCATTCTCTGTGGGTTCATCGTGACCAACAACAAATCAGTCAAGATAGTGTAAATTAAATTAAAATAAGTAAATTTTTCATTACAGCCACTTTAAATAGGCTAGGAGAAACTTGGAGTTTCAGACTGAACATCCGACCAGCAGCCTCACCTGTATCTTGCTCTCAGGCAGGTGTGTGTGCGCGGCCAGCCTTTCCCGCAGGGTGATGTCCGGGTAGGGGGTCACAGCGAAGGCCTGCTCCAGCTCAGACAGCTGCGCACGGCTGAAGATGGTCCTCTTCCTTTTCCTCTGACCCTCCATCAAACCGATGCCTCTGTCCGGCTCCGGAGAGGATACAGCACTCCCACTGCGGGCATCTTCCAATTACAATGCAAATATCAAGAAAAATGTCAAACAGTTGAAAAAATAATGGTCTATAATAAATAAATAAACAGCCTTTCAGAAAGGGAAATCTTGTTGTGGTGATGGAAAATATCACAACCCATAAACTTGCCAACATTTAGGTTCTTTTGTGTTTGACCGTGGATTGTAATAATAACTATTGTTATCATTATTATATTATAATAATAATTGTTATTACACTTATTTATTAACAAGAAATTAAAGAACAAAATTTTTTTTTTTCGTAATTTAGAAATTATTTACTTTATAGAATACATTTTATTATAGCCTTGAACCTAGGAATATGTGTATCTGTTAAGAATAAAAAAAATTTATAATAATAACTTTCAGATTTATTTTCTCAGCCATCTTTTTGTTTACTTTTATCCTATTAGACTATTTTATTGTAATATACAATATAATTCAACCATTCATTGAGTTTTGTTGGGAAAAGCTGATTCTATGAAGCAGCCGGTCAGAAAGTCAAAAGTGTTTTTTGCTCTCTGTGACTCACCTTTTGAGTGTTTCTGTTCTCCGAATAATGCCTTGAAATCTGCCAGGTCTTTCTGCTGGTTCTGCTTGAGTAAAGAGAAGTCTGAGTCCATGAACAGAGCCATAACTCCACACACACACAAACACACCTCTGCCGCTCGCCTTCACCGATGCTGAGAGTTGAGGAGGAGTCAGGAGCTTCTTATACCGCGTTCAGATCAGATGGGACACCCAGCCCTCTGCATCCAGTAAATCTCCAATTACTTACTGACTTGTTTTCCTGCCTCTTTAAGTCTTCTGGACCTGCTCAGGCACCATTTATAGAGTCATTTTTATAGGTCCTGAGAGAAAATTTCCAAAATGAGCCTACATTTATTTATTTTTTTCTCAGCCAAATGTCATCATGATACAGATCATATATTCTTTAAAGTCCATCTTGCAGAAACACACACACACACACACACACACACACACACACACACACACACACACACACACACACACACACACACACACACACACATATATATCGTACATTGAATTATTCTGCATTTTTTCCAAGTAGGTCGTTAGACTATTTAATCTGCTGCAGTCTTTATGACCTCTTCCCCCCCCACCAAACAAAACATCTCATGTGATGTCAGATTATGACACTTGATAATCTTTGTGTTCTGCTACATCGTCCTTCTCAAGCTAACAGCTAATGTGATAAATGTCACCAGTAAGCAGTGTGGCTGTACTTGCAGAGTACATCTAAACACTGAAATAAACTACTGAGCACACACAGAAAATAAAGTACCTTATTGAACTAAAATATATCTCTGCCCTGAGACCTAGTGGAACTCAAATAGGTTTAATCTGTTTTTGCTCACTAAAAGCGCTCACCACCTGCAACAGTCACACTCCTCCAAAAATGCTGTTTATGTGGCTTATAAAGATAATGTATTATTATAAAAAAAAATTCTCAAGAGGCCTGCTGCAACTAGACACATGTTTGACATAAAATAACTCACCTGCTTCTTCAGATATCAGTGAGGCTGGTTCAGTGTCAGGTGTGTGGGTGTGGGGTGATATGAGTGGGACAGCCAAGCCTGAGCCAGAGGTTTGGTCTGTTGGTTCTTGCAGCAAGCCGGCAGATATGTGATTTAGTATACATATGCACAGAAGGTCTGCCTGCACCAATTACTTGTTGACTAAAGTATAAAAAAAATAAGAAAAATAAGAAAATAAGAAATGAGGTAAGCTAGCAAACACTAGGAAAGTCAAGCAGTTTCTTTCATTTACAAGTATATTTCCACCTGTCTCTTTTCCTACCGCTCCAAAGCTCAGCGTCAGCGCGTGCACCTGGACTAAACCAAATCACGAAATAAGGACGGGGGAGGTGGGGTCAGAGGCTGACTGGATTTACTCTTTGTTTCGAAAAACAAAACAAAACCAATATTAGGAAACAAACACCTCTGAAGCAAACCGCATTTATGGTCATGTATGGAAGCCATATTGATGGGCTAATAATTTTTGTTAAAAATAATAAAATAAAATAAAGTTATGGGCGCTTAGAATCCGTAATTTTTCTCCCCCTGACGGCGCCCATGGGAAATATTTATTTGAATTTTAAATCCCCCCGTAGGGAGTTTGGTTATGTAAGAAAAATAATGAACTTTTCACTTTAGCCCTATTTCTGAGAGTGTACAGGTGTTAGGGTCATGTTTTTGTTTAAAGCTTGAGAACACAATATATGTAGATGCCTTTCCATTACACAGTTTGGTGTCAACACTAGTTGGACACTGGAAAGACAGTAATGGAAAAATATTATTATTTTTCCATTATTGGAAAAATAATAATAATAAGACTGAAATCTTATTATTCAGTCTTTTTCAGTAACCTGTGCTGATTTTGTTCAACCAGGTCAAGAAAAGCAGGAATCCCAACTATCCTGGGGTGTCACATAGTAGGTTTTGTCTTCTGTGTCTACCGTTACATTGCTCCTACAGTTCCCATGAGATAATTTACATTCTAGAGGTGAGGCACAGTCCACATTATGAGGTTGGATCATGGTTTGTTCATGAGTTGGGCATCCCTTTGTGTTTCACACTTGCTTTTTGTCACTTGCTGTTTTTTCTTTCTTTTCTTTTTTTTCTTCTTGCTTAATACTTATACTTAATCTTCTACTCAATTGTCAGGCTAATGTGGTTAAAAACTACTTGGTTAGGTTTTGAAGAAGATCATGGTCATAACAACAAACCTGACCTGCCAGCTGTTATAATTTAGGAGAGACAGAAGCACAGCACTATGGCTTTCTGACTAAGTAACACTGAAAGTCTATCCAGTTAACTGGAACTTCCAAGCAGAATCGATCTTTAGGTAATATATTTGAGCTTGTACGATGTGGAGGAACCTAAGATCATATCATACACATGGTATAAAATCTCCACACATTGCAGATGGTCTGGAAACCGATGCTGTCCAGCTGCAATCAGCTCCAACAACTGGAAGAGACACTTAAAAACCACACAGACCCAAACAATCACACAACTTGATGGATTTACAAAAGCCTGATCACATGATCAACTATTTGCAATTGTTATGTTTTATGTTACTCTTTCATTGTAACTTGAGTGACCATAAATTTAGCGTTGCTTAGTTCCCAATGAATCCAGGATAGAAAAAAACTGCAACATATAAATTTCACTGTTTATTTAAATTCGTTTCACTTGTGTCATAATATAGAAGTAGATATTAAGAAAAAAAAACAGTTTTCCCAGAGAAGTAAAATTTCTTGATGTTGTTTTCCATATTTCAGCATCATCTAAGTGTCATCCAGCATATGTGGATTGAAAGATTGCTCACCATCATATCAAAATATAATTTTATTTTCTACAACACTGCGTCATATATGCCCTAAACAGTCGGACGTACAGCTTTACGGAATGTGACATTTCTGAGACATACCTCCTCTCCACAGGTGCGCAAGTTGAAATTAATATGGAAGTTAACCTACAAGCATGTGTGACAATAATGAACACAGCAACATTTCTGCTCTCTCTCCAGTATATCTCAGCCATACACACAAATACTCATACACAAAGTAAAAACCTAAATATAAACCACACACACATACACAAAAACTGCTGACCGCTGTGTATGAATCCATCTTCATGATTGTTCATACACAGCATGGATGAAACACTGTCCACTCTGTCAGTGACCCAAGCTGTGAGCACTTCCCCTCTGGGCTGCTTCTCCTGCAGCACAGTAGAGGATTGTTTATTTATCCACCACTAGGGGGCGACCTAGTCCTTCCAACGTGCCAGCTCTGTCCACCAGCCCTACATGCAGAGGCCTCTGCCTGACAGCAAACCAGAAATTAGCTGATAGCATGTTGATGTTTTCAAAGAGGTCTTTGAGCGTCACTCGAACTTCCGCAGGTGGTTGTAGAGGGACTGCACGTAGGTGAAGACGCACATGGGGTCTGGCTTACGGCCCATGATCATCATATCGTCCACCTCAATCAGCCGGTCACAGCCTGCCTTTGTTCTGGAGGTGGAGATAAAGGAAGACAATCTAAGAAAAGGGAAGGCTAGAGAAGTGGCATCAGGGGTATTTCAAAGAGTGGACTTTCTAAGTTTCTAAAGAAGAAGATTGAAGATTGAAGTTACCTAATTATTGATTTACACGACTGAACTGTATCATGCAAAAAATACACAGCAGCCAGTCGCGTTCTGAACCTGTAAAGCTGCTAAAAATGGATTTTTAACAAACATGTTTTGTTACAGTTTGTTACAGAATGACATGGTGGATGTAATCATCCTGATATGTGTATTCACTGTCCTGTAAGTCTCAGATCTCTTTAAGAGGTCAAGTCTAAAGCTGGTCACTGAACCCACTGAATAATGCTTTTCAGTCAAAACAGCTTAATTCTGCTGCAGGCACAAAATAAACTTGTCTTTAATCAAGTAGTGCACGTCCACGCTGTAGGTCTGTGTAGTGCAGTGGGATAATAAGCTGGGCTTTATGAAGCCATTTGGTCAGGGAAAAGGAATGCACACCTTTCATCAAATGTGAAAAAGGGAGGGGAAAAAGCATGGAGAAATAAAAAGGACTGGATCTGCAGGAGTAATGATCGTTTAAAACGCGTGCATTTGGGTCTTTGTGGAGAGCTATAAAACAAACCAAGAGAGAAAAGCCATTCAGAAACATCCAACCACAATAAAGCAGACATGCATGGCTGATGGAGTTAAGGCTCATAAATCTTTTAAAGCCATATTAGCAGAATCCAGACACCACAACTGAGCTCCAGCTAACTAATAACTGTTTGTGTTTGTAACACAACAAGAGTGGGAGGAAGTTAAAGGAAAACTGTGACATCTGGGCTAATTTATGTCAAACACAATTAGCTTACTGTACATTTAACATGCTGAGATGGAGCTCTTGGGTTTCTTGCAGTTTCTCTGAGTGCTGGACCTTTGAGAGAATTTGGTTGGACATCTAATCCTGCGAAGGTTGTGGCATTGTGTTCACACACACACACACCTGCTTTTACAGATGCGCTCACACTCTCTGATCAGTTAGTCGAGGGCATTTGGTTATTGGTTACTATCTATCCTCCTCCTCCTGTGGAAGGGAATTTTTTTTATAGTACTGCAAAGAGCCGTGTGAAAATGTATCTGTTTTTAGTGAATTAACCTTCCATCAAAGCAAAATGAAAGGAAATATTTTGGTTTTACAAAACTAAATGAAATATTGAAATGAAAATAAAAAAAATAAAAAACAGAATGAAAATAAACATAATGTTTGAGAGAAGATAATAAACATTAAAATGAAAAAAAAAACATTCTTGTAGTGTCTTGTTAAAAATAAAATATACGTGAATGTCATTAAGAATATAATTTAAGACCTGGTAAGAATGAGAAACATAATGTCTTCTACATATAATATATGTAAAACCTACGAATTGACAGAAAGTGTATTTTTTAAGCTTGTGAAGCAGCACTGTGTCATATCTTCAAAATAAATTATCCACAGCCTATTTTCATATTGTTATCACTCACTCTGCAGTTCCAAAGGCCAGCTCAAAGTTGTGCCTGCGATTGGCTGGTGACAAAGAGGTGTAGTCAAACTCGGTGGGAAAGAAGGAGTGAACCAGGGCACAGAAAGCCATCCCATCACTCCAACTGGATGAGAAGTTCTGGATGTCGATGTTCTGAGGACAGGAAGAAGTGATGATGAGTGTGTGAGAATACTGCATTTAGGAGAGCAGTGAGAGGTAAAAGATAGACACGTGACTTGTTGCAGCTTCATAAAGCTGTCTCCCCATCCGGCGTCTAACCCATAATTATGATGGC